CGTGGAGCCGAGCGCTCGGCTAAGCTCATGCACGTGGTCTTGCTAAAATTGCCGAATTACCGTTGGAATTACTCTGGAATTTACTCTGCAATTTTATTATTTTATTTTTTTTTCCACTTCATGAAATGCTAGTAAAGCTCCACCTCACCAGCCAGGCTTGCTTCTGAAGAGAAGCTCTAGGTGAAGACACCAGAGCTGCCTGGGTGCTGGGGAGGTGGCTCTGCAGTCGCCCATTGCCAAATTCGCTGCAAGCCTCAATATTAACGTGACCTGTCAAGTGGGAACCCTTCCTTCGACTTCACATTAACAACAAAAAAAAAAAAGGCAAGATTTTGATGAAACCACTTTTGCTGTGGGTTTCAAGCGACCTCTCCTCTGTGCACGAGGAGCCATCCAGGCTCTGAGCCACAGCGCTCCAGGCTGAGCAGCCTTTTGGATAAGCCCAGCCCAGCCCAACTCAACTCCAGCTGCTTTTGTGAAGGCAAAACACTGCTTTGGTTCCTCCCAGAGGCATCCCCAGCCCCGAGGTGCCCCCGGGATGTTGTCCTCCCAAAGCTCCCGGCCCCATCGTGGTTGGCTTTCTAGAAGATGCTCCACAGGGAGGGATGCTGAGCAGAGACACAAAACGCTGATGCTGTTTCTGGCGAAACAAGAGGAAGAAAACAAGTCCCTTGGAGGGTGTGGAACCTGGGGACTAGGTCCCAGCAGCTCAGTGTGGGCTGTGCCACACGATATGGTGGCACTTTACAGCAGGGACCGGCCTCCATCTCTCACCCCATCACCTGGACACCCACTCACGGAAGCCTTGGGAGTGAAATCCTGCCCTGCCAAGCTCCCTGAGATGGGCTCTCCAGTAGGTAATGGGGAAACCAGAGGTGAAGAAACAGATCTGCCCAGGGTCACAGCAGGATTCAACAGCCACTGGCCCACGTGTGCAGAGAAACCCTGCTAATCTAATAAAATTTGAGATGGTACAGGTCCTGTCCAGCCTCTCCTTCCCACCAGCAGCTCTGTTACCAGCCCTGGCCCTGCAGCTCCTGCCTGTCAGCCCTTCTCTCTCCGCAGCTTTATTTCTTGCAACCTAATGAGTCCTTAATTCAGCAGGCTTTGTCCCATAGATCTTGATTTGCCCTCGCACCGGTGGGGAACGTGCGCTTTGAGGCTGGTGGTGAGGGAGAGAGCACAACCACAGGCTCTGCCTTTACAGAAGCAAACCTCTCATCTGGCAGTGGCCGAGCTGGAGCAGCTCTGCTTTTTTTTTTTTGCCTGGTTAGAAAGACAGAAAAAAAGGCACAAACCAGCCATAAGCATCCCTCAGGGCATCACTTTGGAGGGCTTGTGTGCCCCAAGGGCTGCTGCCGCCCTGTATTTCCTGAGGGACCATCAGCTGCAACATCCACCTCCCTGGAGCTGTGACCTCCTCCAGCCCTTTTGGTACCAAGGTGTCACCACAATCGCTCAGTGTAGGAAGCTCATCATGTCTCGTGGTGACAAAGGGGCACAAGTTGGGTGGAAAAGGGGAGATGGGGATGGCAGGCACGTGCTCCCGGCTCATTTAATGAATTTTCCCTCTTATAGGCAGAAAAAAACCCCAAGTATTATTGACATGGTTTATGTACCACGACCCCCAGGAGCTGCCACTCAGCTCTTCTTCACTGCAAGAGGCAAAATGTATTTCAGAAGACGGATGGACCACGTGGACCCGCTTCATCCCCTCCCTCCCTGGTTTTTAGGGCGCCGGGGGACCTGCCCACGGTGGGGGCTGTGAGAGCCAGACCTCCACGGAGCCCCATCAAACTCCAAATTGCCAACAAACAATAAACCCGAGAAAGGTATTTTTCACGTTTCCTTGTCTCTCAGCCAGGGGGATTCATGGTGATGGGCGTAGGAGTAAAAAGCAAAACGTTTTTGGAGTACGATTCGGAAGCCGACGGCGCTGCACGGGAATATCAACGACGTACACAGAAAAGTGGGATCTGCCTGGGAATCATTTCCGAGCAGCAAATAAAAAGGCCAAGGAGAATATTACAGCAATGAGTAATCTGAGGAGCTGAGTTACACAGAGACCCCACCATTTCATGGCATTTCTCTCTCCTGCAGCTCCCAGCCTTCCCTCAGCGCTCCCCCCGAGCTCCGGGCACGGACGGATCCGGGGTTTGGATACTCAGGATGCTGCTCACCCCCCGGCAGCACCCACCTTTCCCTGGCCAAGCACAGCACCCCAAAACCGTGGGCAGCCCTCAGGATAATTTATCAGCAGGGCACGACGGGACTCATGTGCCTCCCAAACCCAACCTGCCACCTTCGGTCATTCCCAAGTCTTTAACTCGGGATCAAACCTGCTGCTTTGGAGGTGGCTCCGGTGGGGCTGTTGTTGTCATTTTAAAGCAGATGCAATAAAGAGCCAAAAGCACCGGGGCGATTTGGCTGCCAAAGAACTCAGTGTGTGCCGTTTAGCCAGCCACGCCGCTCCTTGGGGATGAAATTTGGGGGGGGATACGTGGCTCTGCAGAGGGAGGCTGTGTGCAGGTGAGCTGGAGCCACTCCATCTCTCTGCCTTGTTTTTCCAGCCACTCTTACGGAATAGGATGGATGGAAATGGGAGGCAGCACTAACCCCCCTGCCCCACACACTCACCCAGCCCCAGAAATATTATTTAAATCCTCTTTACCCAGCCACACGGCTCTCTGCAGCTGAAGTCCCGCTCCAAGGATTTTGCAGGAGCCTCTCACGCCGGCTGAGCTATTGTATTTTCCTCCCCTCCTCTCCTATTTTCCTGTCATTTGCTCTCATATGTTGTCACCATCGAGCAGTAGCTCGCTGCCGTCGCTTACAAGTGGGTATTCATTCACACGAGCAGCGTGCAGCCGCCAGTCACATCAGAAAATGCACTATTATTCAGCATCTGGAAAGGAATTACAAATTCCTACAAATTCAGGCTGCTTTAAAGAAATCCTGCCAGTCAGATATATTTTTTTTCCCCATCACCAACCACGACAGAGGAGTAACCACAGCCCCCGCCGAAGTCCAGGGGACTGGAAATCAGGCCACAACTCCCTCCTGGCCACCACGGCGAGGAGTTTGGTGTTAAGTCTCCTTTCACAAATGGGGAATGGCCACCAAGAGGGGGGGTGAGATGGAGACTCACAGCCGCCAAAGCCTGAAGTAAGGCACCTAAATACACACCCAAGCACCTTAAATAAGCAGCCCGATTTCCAGGGGGAGGCTGAAACGAGCAGGAGCTTGCGAGGGCTCGGGTCGGTGCGTGCAGACTCGGGCACCCATATTGGAAATCTCCTCACTGGTGGCCCAGGAGAGCACGTACAGGTTTGTCCCGGCTGCTCGCAGCCTCCTGTTGCTTCCCAAATGCCGCCTGTGAAACCGCAAAGCTTGGTCCAAGGATGCCACCGCCGATGTGACACGGAGCAAGCGAGGAGGTCCACAGCCCCGCAGCTCCTCAGCTCCTTTCCTGCTCTCTCATCAAGGATGTTAAGACCAGGGACGCTTCAGGAGGACTCATCTAAGCACGGCTCTGTTTCTAGACACTTTACAGTCCATGGGAACATCTCCCTTGCCCAAGACCCAAAGGTAATGATTATTTTCTTGTCTTTCTTTGCTTCTCTCTCCAGTATCCACACCAGTGAGCACCAGCTGGTTGGACTGGGAACAAATGGACGCTAAGCCTGAAGTTGGGGTGTTTGTAGGTGCTACTGGACATGGCACAGGGAAGACCCCGCTTCCACTGAGGCCCCTGGGGGGCGGGAGCAGCGTGACGGTGGGCAGCCCTGAATCCCTTGGAATTCACCCTAGAAGCGGAGCAGCAGGACCCAAGCACTCGGTGCGGGGGCTGAACACTACGTTACCTTTGAAACGGCAGGGGGAATTTGGGCAAGCAGATTGCAATTACCTGGCCTGGCACCGGCCCAGAACGCCACCACTAGCTCCTTTCCCAACCCGGCTCCTTACAAAAAGCCGATGCAGAAACGCGGGCCTGAGAGCGGCGGCCAGGATCTCGCCGTTGTGCCCTTGATGAAAGACACCACCACGGTGTCCCCAGCGCTGCGCCCCGGGCGCTGCTCCCGTGCTTCCCCAAGGGGATGGGCTCCACGCCGAGAGCCACCCGTGCCACCACCGCAGCTCCAAGAGCCCCTCAAACTCTCCCAGAAGAGCAGCGTCCCGTCACCGGGGGGATGCTCTGCCACCATCCCTCTGGGGGACCACGCTGGAACTCAACCCCGCTGCCTCTCCCCCATGACACGGCTCTGAGAAAGGGGAGCAGGTTTAATTAAGGAGACCATTGTGCTTCCCGGAGGTGATGCCTGGAGGGAGCACACCCAGGTGAGCCGGGCAGCTCGGAGCGGGCAGAGGCTGGAGGAGCCACGGCGCTGGGGCTCCTGAGAAAGCAGGGGGAGCACCCAACAGAACCGGGGCAGGCTCGGGATGGAGATGCGACCACGGCTCTCATTTTGGAGAGGAGACGATCACCGTGCTGAGGCTCCATCCCACTGACACTGGAGGAGGCAACCCGGTCACTTTCAGAACATTGCACCGTGCCCCTGGGGCTGGGGGACGATCGGTGACATTTTTGGGGGGGGGACACCAAGGGGGAGGCACATCCCGGCCCATCTCCTTGGGGAGAAGGGATGGACAGGCTGGGAAACAGCTGCTGTGTGTGGGGAAGGGGGTTCGGCGCCGTGGTTCATCTCAGGTCACCGCTTGTCTACACCCCGCTCGTTAAGCACCATGGCTTAACGACAGCCGGGCAGAGCCCTGGGCTGCCCCAGCCCTGCGTGGCACCCCTCGGCAGCAGGCCAGAGGCGGCGGTGAGGGTCCCCCCCATGCCTGCCCCAGCTCAGTGGGTGCGTGTGGAGGGGTGCGGGTGAGGCTGGCAGGGAAGCGGGACATGGGGAACCCTTGGTGGGTCAACAAGAGGAGCGATATGGGGGGACGGGATGCCCCGCAGCGATTCCCCCCCCACACCCCAGCCTCCCCCTTCCTACCTTGCAGTCCGTCAGGCAGGATCTGACCGAGTACTCTTCCGATTGCAAGTACTTCTCCAGCAAGAGGTCGAACTCCTCGTATTTTTCCTGAGCGTGTTGGTCCAGCCGCTGGTACGCCTGGACGCAGCTGCTACAGGCCTCCCCGCCCAGCGCCCCGGCCGCCGCCGCCACCAAGTCCACCATCAGGTTGTCCAGGCTGCAGTCCAGGCCGTCGGGGCCGGCCATCTCCCGCAGCAGGTCCCAGATCGTGTAAGTATCACAAAAGGAGAGGTTGAAGTTCCTAAAGTAAGCCTGCAGGAAGGTCCTCTTGGAGGAGGGAGAGGCGAAGAAGGGGGCGGCG